AATGCCAATATCAAAATAGTATAACTGGTAAATAGTACCTCATTATTGTGAAAACAGTTTTCATCTTGACAATCTCTAAAAGGTTGTAAGCACCCCCAGGGGTCTGCAGACCACACTTTGAGAAGTGCTGCCTTACTGTACACATCCTGGTCTGTCCCTGCAAACTGCCCATGTCCCAGACTGGACGAGAGCATGAAAAGGAAGGTAACTTCTTACATGTGACAGAGAAACCAGAGAGGACAAAGAGGATCATCAGATCCCTCAGTTAGCAAAAGGCTCCCATCCTTCAATTATAGAAGCTGGTTCTAGTCAAAACTACCCTAACTCACACACATCAGGCTTTCTTAGCCAGGACCTTGGCAAGGGGTGAGCAGGAGCTCCCAGCCGTCATCTATAGCCACTTTCACAGAAAAGGGAAGGAGCTTCCGATCTGATTAGTGTTGCCAGAATTAAAATTCCAGAGTAACTGACACTTGCCTTTAGTGATGGCAACCTTGTCAACTTCCTTGCCTTCCAACTCATGCCCCCAAGCACTTAATACCTCCATCCTGCCCATCCTGCACATCCTTTTCCAGTGTTACCTCCCTTACTTTTCCCATCCTTGAAGGATATATTCGCTTGTTTGTGTGTTTGGTTTTTCCTAATTCACACAAAGTTGCAAGTGACTTATGTCTCTCAAGAAAACTTATAATACATTTTTTATTTTGTTGTTTTTTCCTTCTTTCTTTTTTTTTTTTTTTTAACCACCCTATGTTCTCTTACTAATGGACCTTGAGAGCTTGTTTGGAGGAGAAAACTTATAATACATTTTTTATTTTGTTGTTTTTTCCTTCTTTCTTTTTTTTTTTTTTTAACCACCCTATGTTCTCTTACTAATGGACCTTGAGAGCTTGTTTGGAGGTTCTAGCAGGGAAACGCAGCTACTTGTATAACCCTGACTGAAACGGTCCTCTCCTCTATCAGGGAAGGTCGTCCTCTTCAACTGAGTGTGCAGCTTCAGGAGGGATGCACATGGAGCAGTGAGGAAGGAAGGAGACACTGCCTAGCCAGCCAGATCAACCGAATCAATCCTGGCGATCAATGGGGTGACAGATATGGCAGCCAGATCACCTTCACATCTGAAAACTTATATTTTTAAAAGGCTACTTTTGACCCATGAAATTTCAATTATTGGGATTTCCTTTCATATACTATGGAGTATTTAGGGGCAAAAGCCTTCATTAATAGAAGAATAGAAAGGTCATGCTAGGAAAAACGGACAACATGGTATTATGGAAAGGACAGACTTTAGAATTAGGCCTGTGTCTAAATTATAGATTCACTACTTATGTGACTTTAGGGGAGTTACTTGACTTCTCTGGGATTCAATTTCCTCATTTGTAAAATGTGGATAACACCTTCCTTGAAGAATTCCTGTGAGGATTAGTGACTTTATACTAAACTCAGCATGGTCCCTACAAAACAGTAGGCACTCCATACATGGAGGTTATCATCTGTCTCTAGAAGTATCAAGTAATAGTTTTTTCCACACAACTACCTCCTTTCTCCTGACCCTAGAAATGAACTTTACATCCCAATTACTCATATATTCCAATTGCCATACATCTTTCTCTCTCTAGGTGAATCCTTTCTCTGTTGTTTTATTCCTTTGGAAACTGGGTAGAGACTATAACCCAGGACTCTACTTCCCTCAAGCTACTAGACATAAAGGTTACCTCTGCTTCCTAATATGGAGGGGCTTACTTTTCCTAATAGAAACGATGGTGCTAGACACTGGATCAGATTCTTAATAATGTTTGCCTGTGAGTCCTTGGGATTTTCTGACTCTCAAACAAAAAGCATGAGCACGGTGGTCCTAGGAAGAAGCTTCCATTTTATTCCACCAAGCTTTCTTTTCCTGAGATTTCCAGCCTCATGCAACTATTTCCCAGTGGCTCCCTTCATGGCTCTTTATCTTTATTACCAGTCTTTATATGTCCCTGTCACAATTTCTAAATGCATCTCAATTTATATTTAATTCAAATACTATTTGGCATTGCTAGAAAGAAGACAAATTTGCAAAAACAACAGTTACCATAAAACCAGCAAATACTGTATCTGTGACTAGACTCAAGATTATTAGGGCTGGCCGGTTTCTCCGGTGGTTAGAGTGTGGTGCTGATAACACCAAGGTCCAGGGTTTGATCCCTATCCCGGCCAGCCACAAA